AAAAAAAATTTTTTTTTTTTTTTGGGCTAGTTAAATAAATTTTCGGGCTACCAAAATCTGAAGAGTACCTGGGAAGGGCTACCAGGGATTTTGAAATTTTGCGAGCCCTGTGCAGCCTCTGTTGGCTTTCCTTGGCAGTTAACCTGAATGATCACAAAAAATGTGATAAGTAGAGAGAACCGTGAGTGAGGCTGATAGACTGATTTAAAGGGGTCATATGATGCAATTTCAATTTTTCCTTTCTCTCAGAAAGGCGGAGCATAGAGGAGAAACAATAATGTACAGTATGTGGAAAATAATGTGTTTTTTGAACCTTAAACCGCATAAACACATTTCATTACACCAAATACACAAAATAATGTTCTTTTTAGCAGCATCATATGACCCCTTTAAGGTCTCTTGTTGTAGTAAACGAACAATAACTGAATGACGTACTGCCTGGAGTGTGCAACCACTGGATACTTTGCTGTCCCATAAGGCCACGGGAGATGAAAAGACATATATGCAGAGAATTATGAGATGGATGGCAGTTTTTAAATGTAAAGGCCCATTCACACCAAGAATGATAACTATAAAGATAACTACTAGGCTATATTAGCAGCCACCAGCAGATGATATTGTCTGTTTATTCTAAGCGCACACTTGTCTGCCGCTTTAAATTCTCGAGCTCGTTACAGCAGGATTGATTCTGATTGGGTGTCAATGTTTTTATTGTTCATCATCTGGAAAAAATCATTCTGAAAGTGATTCCAATGATATTGTTTCTCTGTGCCTTTATCGTTATAGCTGTGGTGTGGACTCTTTAATATTGAGAACGATTTTTAGAACTATATCTTTATCGTTATCTTTATAATTATGGTGTGAACAGGCCTTAAGTCCTGTAGGTACCACAAACGTTAATTTTTTTATTATTTTATTTATTTATTGTTTGTCATGGTTAAATTGTATTCATGCGTTAATTGATTTGACATTTGTTTTTATAGTGCAGGAGTACAGGGGGCAAAGGACAGTGCCAGAGTGCCAGCTGTTTTTTTTTAAAGAAGTCAACACTTTTATTCAGTAATTAGAAGGACACATTAAATTGGATCAAAATGTTACAATGATTACAATGTTATTTACAATATATATATATGTGTGTGTGTGTGTGTGTGTGTGTGTGTGTCAAATAAATATGTTTTCTATTCACCAAATAATCCTGAAAAGAAGTATTACAGTTTCCACAAAATATTAGGCAGCACTGTCAACATCGATAATAAGAAATGTTTCTTGAGCACCAAATCAGAATATTAGAATGATTTCTGAAGGATCATGTGACACTGAAGACCACTGAATATTCAGCTTTGCCATCAAAGGAGTATATTATTTATAATTTTAAATATATTAAAGTAGCAAACAGATATTTTAAAATGTAATAATATTTCACAATATTACTCCATAACATAAATATAACAATAAATAATTTAATGATGTTAGCTGTAGGAAGCCATAGATATAGTTGCAACTTTTTACTGGACTCTGTCCCCTTTAGAATGGAGAAAAACAAACCCTGGACACCCCCACCAACCCCCCTGCACTCCGTCTCTGTCTCTGTAGGTATAATTTTTTTTCCCAAATACACTCTCAGAAAAAAAAAAGGACAAAAGCTGTCACTGTTGCGGTACCTTTGAAAAAGTTACACCTTTTTTACCTTGTGGCTCATTAGTAGTTCGGTACCTAAAGGGTGGAGCTACACTCACTGCAGAACGTTGATTGGTTGACAGAGAATCATTACTTGCACGTGCTACAAGGGGAATGACAACACAAAGGGAATGAAGCGTCTCCTTCACTCGTTCTGCCATGCCGCTCGTTGGGCTTGGATAACTGCCATTCCCTGACAACTGCATAACTACACAACATACTTCATCATAAGTATAGTAATTGGTTCTTCATTGAATTTGATGAAATGCAGGAATTTAGACACTGCTTCTGTATAGTTTCTCTCTTTCTGCTGTTGTTGTCTTCTTTCTGTCCATTGACTCCTTGCACCTTATTTTCCTTTCCCAGTCATCTTCTATTCTTATTTTGTATCTTACCTCTTCTCCCACCTCTCAGTAACAGTATTTTTGGCTTGTTCCTGTGTCTGTGACTGCCGGTGTGATTCATGATGGGGGTTGGTGAGTGTTGAGCGATTCTCTAAAGGAGCTCAAACCAGGCTAAGCCGTGTGAATTGTGTCAGACAGTGTTTTTTTTTTCTCCCTAGTGCTGATGATGGTTATTGCAGAGGAGGCACACATGCTGTGCGGGGTAGTGGACGAGGGTGGAGGTGAGGTGTGGTTACGGGCCCATTCGCTGCAGGTGTTGACAGATCCGTATATCCTATACTTCCTCCACGACACGGTCAGCCTGTGCGTTAGTGCTTACAAGCTGCTAATGTGAGCCCCCCATCCGAACTGCCACAGGGGAGTTTTCAGCAGCTGGCAATGTGTGAAATCAAGAGGCTTTCCCATCCAGTTTCATCCAGCGATCACGCCAGGAGAGAGTGAGAGGGAGAAATTAGCCACAGGTCTCCGACTTCAGGCTGTAGTCTGTTGATTCGTAAACTTCCTTGCCTTTGGCCTGTTACACTTAAGGTTGATTGGAAAATCCGGTCAACATTGTAATTGCTCACAGCAAGAATTGGACAGCTATTAAGTGTTTTTTAGTTTATCCCAGTTAAACCTGGAGAAAGCTGCAGTTTCTCTGTTTGCTGTGTAAATTACAACGTTTTGTATAGATTTTTTCTTACATTTACTTTTGCTTTCCACGGGAAGTCGTGGCCTAATGGTTAGAAAGTCGGACTCGTAACCCAAAAGTTGCGGGTTCGAGTCTCGTACCGGCAGGGATTGTAGGTGGGGGGAGTGAATGTACAGCGCTCTCTCCCACCTTCAATACCACGACTGAGGTGCCCTTGAGCAAGGCACCGAACCCCCAACTGCACCGCAGCAAAAAAATGGCTGCCCACTGCTCCGTGTGTGTGTTCACTGCTGTGTGTGTGTGTGCACTTTGGATGGGATAAATGCAGAGCACTAATTCCGAGTATGGGTCACCATACTTGGCCACATGTCACGTCACTTCACTTCACTTAATGGGGCTTTGAAAGTGAGTTTGGGCTTTATTTATCAATATTATACAGAGAAATAATGATGTGAGAAAGGAATTTTATGTTAAAGATCATTTAGTGCCAGGGTTTATTGTATTCTCTTTTTAAATGCATATGAATAATAATTTCCATTGATCTAAGATGTACAAAGCAGTCTTATTCTATAATTAAAGTGTGGCGTAACCCTAGTGTCCGTCCAACTTAAATAATGAACTCACAAGATTCTAGATTGTTTATGTTTTAATAAATGATTAATGATTAAAATCAGTGTTTCTCAGTTGGTGGGTCTCTTCCAGCTGTGGACGACAATAAACAAACAATGATAAGTGCAAATAATAAAATGCAGCTAACTATAAAGCCACATATTGCTAAAATAGCAAAATCGATCAAAAGTTTTCCAATACTATAATTGACAGAAATGTACAAAAATGGCTTCAAACCATGAACTTAATATTAATATTGCTGTTAATATCAATGTTTCACCAAAGACATTTTTGTTCAAAAGTTTAGGGTCAGAAAGGTTTTAAACTATTTTCTATTGTAATATATTTAAAAATATTATTTATCACTGTGATGTCAGAGCAGATTTTTACAGTTAGTCTTCAGTGTCACATGATCCTTCAGAAATCATTCTGATATGCAGATTTTTGTGCTCATTTTGTGTTGGAAATAGCTTTTTTCTGAAAACTAATACTTTTTGTCAGGATTCTTTGATGTATAGAAAGTTCAAAAGAGCAAAATTTCTTTGAAATATAAATAATTAGTTTTACATTATACATGTCTTTACTGTCACTTTTGATCAATGTAATGCACCCTTGCTTAATTAAAAAAAAAATTTAAATTAATGAATTTTTATTAATAAAAAAATATTTTTAAAAAAATGTACTAACTCCAAACTTTTGAACAGTAGTATTCATTTGAACCATTTTGGTAGCATGTAGGTTTGCCACTGCCACTCCATTGTACAATCTTGGTGCTAAAGTAAAACCAGTTGAGGACTACTATTTTAAATGCTATAAATGAATTATGTAACATTCAAGTACACGCAAATTATTAGTACATCTACTACTGCAGTATTAGCACAGCTATAGGGAAGCTACTCTGACATAGCATTAACATGTTTGGTTAAACAGTAATTGTCTGCTGCAATAGAGAGCATTTAAACCTAACAATTGTGCTTTGTCTTTAGGCTTGATGGGCAACTGAAGTTTAGTCTCACCTCAACAGTGAAATCATAAATGGACAGGAGTCTAATGTAACTCCCCTCACTTTTGTTTTGTAGGTGATATTCGTGAATTGCAGTCCAGGAGAGTTCAGCGGCGCGGAGAGGTGACGTTGACCGGATGCGTGTAGAGGAGCGTGCCGTGTGGCTTTGACCATGAGCCGGCTGATGTTGGGCCGGACCCTGGAGCGGATCTGCAAGGCTGTGCTGTTGCTCTGCCTGGTGCACTTCCTCATCATGATGATCCTTTACTTCGATGTCTACAGCCAGCGCTTTGACATCTTCAGCCGTTTTAACAATGGCCGTGGAGTGAACAGCTCACGAGGACCCCACCACTACTACTATAATTTCTCCAGGCCCAACACTACCTTTGCAAGCTACCTGGCCACGGCTGACCATCTTCTGCCCAGCACCAAGCCAGAAGCCAACCACACACCGCCGACCCCTAAGCCATTACCACCATGTCCGGAGGTACCGCCTGGTCTGGGTAAGTTCTTATAGGTGTGGCACATACAGTATATGAAAAGTATGAGTGTTAGGGCTGCACATTGACTCAAAATAGAATCAAAATTGTGACATAGTGTGCTATAATTAAACTAGAACTTATGGTCAAGTACACACTACAACTCTTTAAACACTATTTAAAACTTTATAAACTAGTTTTCGCTAACTGTCCGCTAACTGACGAACGTGGAAGCGCAGAGGAGAGTGCAAAACAAAACACCAGTCACGAATTAGAAGAACAACACGAGGATTTGTAAAGAAAAATGTCAGAGGATTTTGATATAAGCCAAGAGGAGACTGGTCTTCCTTTGCTGTAAACAAAACTTGGTTCTCGTGAGACTAGCATATTCTCGCCGGAGCTTACGCTACGCCTATGTCCTATGTCATCCACTGGAATGCCTTGTTGTTGTTGTTGTTCGTCCTTCACTGGCGAAGATGACCACGACTTCTTCAAATCACTGAATGTTGTGGGTGCGAAGATGGCTAATGAGTCCAATCCTCACTCTGAAAAGTCTCTAGTGAACGCACGTATGACAGTTAGTGGAAGCTAGTTTATAAAGTTTTAAATATGGATATTTTTCTTACACAAACGCATTGTTTCGCTTCAGGAGGACTTTATTAACCCCCCGGAACCGTGTGGAGCACTTTTTATGATGAATGGATGCACTTTATTTTGCTTCAAAATCTCGACCAGCATTCAATGCCATTATAAAGCTTGGAAGAGCCAGGAGGTTTTTTTAATATAACTCTGATTGTATTCTGAAAGAGTAGTCTGCACAGTTGTAGTCTGAAAGAAGAAAGTCATATACACCTAGGATGGCTTGAGGGTGAGTAAATCATGGGGTAATTTTCACTATCCCTTTAAGGTCAGATGTTTTCTTAAACAGGAAGCTCCTGGCAAGGATCTAGATCAGGCTTCCCTGTTGGAACTTCATAAAAGTAAGAACAAAATCCCTTGCATAACTACAGCGATCAATCGTTCAATTGTGCAAAGAAAAAAAGAATATTATGAATAATAGGAGAGACAGTAACACATGGAAGGCACTCATAACTCTCAATTAGTGGTCTGAACAGTTGAATTCTAGGAAGCAGAAGATGACTGGTGTGTTATAAGGGACATGTGGGCAGGACCCCAGCCACTGTTCCCCATCTCAGAGCCATAATGGATTCTCTGCAGACTCCAATTACTGTAAAAGCCGATGTCTCGCTCTGTTTTCCGAGCTGACTGGAGAGTTAAAATGGATTTAACATCAGCATGTTCTTCAGCGCACTTATATTTCATCCACCGAACCGCTTTATTACCAGTCTCTTATGCAGTGTATGACGTGTTCAGAGAAAATGACCTGTGTGCATGACTAACAGGACTGTACCAATTTACTGTCTCATTACTGTGTGTCAGTCTATCCTTGTTCACCATAGAATAAAATATATGGAAAAAGGGACAGAACTGCTTTATGGCACATCTTCCTAGGTGTGATTATTATGCAACAGGACGTCAGAGCCCTGTACATTATAAAGTAATATACTCCATTTGCATAAAGAAAAAAAAATCTCATTAATTACAATGTCATTGCACTGCAATTTTTAGCTCATAATAGGGCAAACCTTCATAATGAATGTGCAGCAGCGCTATTTGATATGCCTGCTAGCAGCGGGCCTTTGCCACCCATATCCTTCTAATGAGTTTAAAGCAGAGCTCTGGAGGGAGTTGAGCTGTGTCATATGACTCGAATGCTGTCTAGCCTGCTCAGGGGTCTCTCTCTTCCTCCGTTTTCATACTTTTTATGCCTATCCCTATGAGTAATGACAGAAACCCAAGATGGCCATCTCAAAACTTGTTATTTTCACACTCGGGGCCCAAAATGCTGAGAGAATTTGATCAATGTCTTTGGGGGCTCTTCATGAAATCAGATTCTGCAATGAAAACGCTTTAATGTATTCCCAGCTTTTTTGCGTCCTTCTTCCTGTCTTCTAGCTGCTGGAAGTACAAAGCACGCTGTGTCGACCACTGTTTTCAAAGAATTTAGTGTTTTCAGATGCTTTAGCTGTTGAAGTGTGGAACAGGCTGTTCATTAAACCATCCCAGCCTCTCGAGTTCAAAGCCACATTTTAGTTTGTCGTTTGCAATGCTGCTTAGTCTTCAATATGCCACTGTAATGTATATTTGATGTTTGCTGTCAAGCCAAGTCAAGTGCGTATGCAGTAAACGCTTGCTCTTTGGTGATTAGAAAACTGTAAACATTTTGAAAAATCGTCTTGATTGAGATGGCATTGAGCCGTTATTAGCCCAAAGAGATTTCGCAAATGAACATTGATTGGATTTGGCGCACCCTTTCCATCATCCTGCTTACAAGAGCTGACCTGCTGATGTTAGTTTAGAGAGACTCTAATGTAATTGAGGCATGTAAGGAGCAGACATTTCCAGCAAGATTTTCTGTGCCGGTCCCAGGTGCATGTAGAACACGGATCTTATTGCGGCAGAGGCCTGCGGGGAAAACCCGGGGTCTGTGGTAGATTGCATCCCAGCTGGCAGGTGTGGCTCGTGGCTGATGATGACTCACTGGTGCCATCTTCCTGGAGGGGAGCTGTGGCAGCGTGGCAGCCACCACATAAACGGCAGGAGGCCTTCCTTGTTATAATCACTCACAAGCAATTAAAGCATTAAAAATAGCCAACAACATGGTATTACAAACAGAACGTTTTTATATTATAGCTAAAGGTAATATAAATTCTCTGATCACTTACCTACAGTGGGGTTCAAAAGTATACGCATACACAAAATTTAATTTGAATATGTTTGTAAACATTAATGTTTTGAAAAATGTAAGACATTGGAACATTTTGACAGTAAATAAACACAATGAAGTGGCCATGAAACGGAAGTTGCGATAGTGAACGGCTTCTTAAACAAGAAAAAATTTTTGTTTTACTGCGATCTCATATGAGTGACAGGTTGTCTCGTCCTCACTCCATTTTGATTAAAGATCACGAGGCGAATCTTTTGCAGGAGAATCTTTAGCAATTCTCAAAATGAATATCCTTTTTTTTTCTCGATGCTTAAATTCACTTTTAAAATTATTGATTTTTAGTTTTAATTCATTATCATCAAAATAGTATACAATTTGAATATTAGTCATTTATCAGTTAACGATCAATAGCCATGAAAATAGATACTGACTTACTGTATTGGACATAATTTTAATATTGGGGCATCACTAAATTAAACGTTAGCAAATTTGTGACATTGACAAATGATCAGATATTCTTTCTTTTATTGAACTAGAAGCTGTTGAATACTGGATAATGTGATCCTCAGATTTTACATTAATTTATGAAATTCAGGCAGTTTGAGTGCTGCCATCATTAAAGCAGGAGGAGCTCAAACACTTATTTTGAAATGTGTTAATTTTTCAGTTCAGCTTTTCACTTTTATTGCTGCTAATATGCTGAGAATTTAATTAGAGAATTAGATAAATTCAGAATAGAAGCATTTTCACTAGTGATCTCAGACATTTGATCCCACTGTACCCTTATTAAAATAATGTCCTAAATACGACAAGTGCACCTGCCAAAGTGAATAGTTCAGTCAGTAACTCATTTAAGCGTCTCATAGAGCTGATGTGTTGGGATGTTGTAGCCTGAGGCATTCTGTCCGTGACTGTACTCGAATGAAACGTGGCCTGGCGCCTGCCAGCCAGCTGGCTCAAATGGCAGAAGCTCTGGCTCATAGGAAACTGACAGTCGACTCCATGAGGAGGGACAGACATTCTCTCTGGCCTGCTGACAACGTTCTCTCCCTCAGGTTTCCATCAAGCAAGAGGGGAAAGCTCATCTCAGGGACAGCACTTTGGGAAGGGGCAGGGGCACAGCCAACACTTCAGCAGAAAGACATTCAGAGACGTAAGAGGGAAATGATGAGAAGGATCAGAAAATGCAAAGATTAAAGCGATAGTTCATTTACTCACCCTTATGTTGTTCCACACTCCAATGACTTTATTTCTATTAATTTGGAATATTCATTCCAGATGAGTATTCACACACATCTGATTTCTTTAAGATGGTTCTTTTTAACTACATTTTTCTGATATTTGAGAGTGTGCTGATAGTCCAGGGCTTTTGGTTTTAGTTTAATTTTGTTTAGCTTAGTCTACACTTAATCCAGTACATTTCTTTATTTGATGAAATGTTTTGCTGCTGAAAGAAATAGTAGTAAAGTCAAAGATAGAGACCTTTGTAGTATAGATGTGATAATTGCCAGTATTCATGGACATTGTACAGTATAATGTGCACATGCCCCAAGCACAGTTTCTCTTCTTCTTTCTGCTGAGTCAGTTGCTTGCTAGTCGTGTTGTCAGGCTACCACAATGTGTTAAAAGCTTATAATACAGTAATACCAGAGATCTGTATGTTAATCATTGTAAAATAACTTAGAAAGCAAACTGTGTCTTGGCACAAAGGCAAAATAAAGTCTACTGGTTCAGGAATAGTATCAAGGAGACACAGCTACAGCTTCATTTTCCGTGCTTTGTTAGTAGTAGGAGAAAATGTTTATATTTGGATTTTTTGGCAGTCATCCTATTTTCTTTCAGCAGGGCAAGCAGTATTTTTTCTTGGTGTTTCAAGCTGCACTGCTCCTGCAGAAGTTGTAGTAAATTTTTCAGTAAGGGCAATCTCAGTCAACAATCAGTCATGTGTGTAGGATGTGTATGCAGACAAAATGTCTTTTTACAGGTACCTTTTAAGCAGTATTTGAATTGATGTCCCATAGTTTCCCCTTCAAGAACTTCAAAAATTCACACTTATTAAATTATGCAGCTTGTTCTTATTCATCATAGGAAACATGAATATATTAACGAGCGTTATGATCTCATTTGCGTCCGTTTTAGTTAGTGATTTCACTACTAAATTATTAAACTGGAAAAGCAGTTACGAATCACTAACAAAAAATTAAATGGAGGGGAAAATATTAATCTTATTTCTAAT